TATTGAGTAATAATAACAAAGCCCCAAAACCCCAAAACCCCAAAACCCCAAAACCCCTTATCTCAAAATGCAAAAATGGTTTTAATATTAAATTTTAAAATAAAATTTAGTTATAATTTCTATTGTTTGGTTTAGAGTTTGTAGTATTTGTCTTCAGTCAAAGCACTATTTCTGAATTGCAGACAGGGCATCTCTTCTCATCAAGCAGCCATTTATCTATACAGTGATGATGATAGTTGTGCAAGCAGTTCATTTCCTTAACCAAATCACCAACCTAATACTAATCAAAACATATTGGGCAGCTATAATAAAATTGATCAATAAATATAGAAACTTACTTAATGGGATTTCCCATCTCATCATGATTATTCTAAATTTTTGATCTAGGAATTTGATCAATCTGCTGCTAAGTAAAACCTTTTGTAACTTTTCCAAGCGTCTCACCTAGTGCTAACATCTCTTCATAAGTCATTTAATCAGGATTAGGGTTACTCAACTTACTCTCCTCGATTGCTCTTTGCAAATCCCACTGTTCACTCATGTTTTCATCCATGTTTTGTGACATCATTTGGCGAATGTACTCTTGATGTCTTTTCTATTTTCTTTCCTCCCTTTCTGCCCTTTATTTTTCTTCTTCTTATAGTTAAAGTGCAATCATATCATCCATGCAATGTTGCCCTCCGGTTTTGTTCTCTTCCTTTTCTTTCTTTTAAGTTATCTTTTGCTTAAACAGATTTCTCTCAGCTTCAAAATTACTTTTAGGTTTAACTGCTGCATGATTAACTGCAGCCTTACTTGGTACTTACTTACTTGATACATCAGTGATATTAGTATGTCCTCCTCTTTCAATGATAGTTGAAGGAACATTCTGTTGTTAACTTTAAAGCTTTCCCACTTAAACTTCATTTTTAAGCTGCTTATACTTAATCTCATATAACCTGAGTCTTTGATTTTCCTTCTATAATTTCTCTATTTTTCTTTGCTGCTCATCAATTACTTCATTCAATCTTTTTATCTCTACTTAGGAATCACTAATTTTCAACTCATTTGCCCTTGAATCTAGTTTTTTGGCTTAGCTACCACTATTTAATCTATGTTGAAGTTAAACCTGGTTATTAATATGCTTAGTGGGATCTCTTATACTATCATGAACTCCCTTTTGTATTCTGTTCTGATTTGTGACTGGTGTGTGTTTACTTGATCCACTACTGCTGCCTTATGAAAATATATTCTATCTTTGCTAATTCGAAAGATTGTTTGAATGGCTGGCATTTTTATTATCCATAAATCCGTAATGCTATTAATGAGTGTGGCTATTTTACATCACTTAGTGGGAATTATCAACGATTCTTGTATGTCCTCCATTTTTTAATTGTATATCTGGTTGGTTAAAATCTAACTAATTGTGGACCTCCTTGAATTAGCCATGATTTATTATTTCATAGGGATGATTACTGCTAGTGTTTTATTGCTATAGATGTTTGTATTTAATGGCTGCTGATTCAACTGCTTTTTTCTGCAGTAATTGATTACTGTGTTAACTTTACATTTTCGAATAAAATCTATTCTTTATAATTATTTTTTCAAAACCACCAGCTAAATTCATAGATTATGGGGTTTTGGGGTTTTGGGGTTTTGGGG